AAACCCTAAAACCCTAACCCCATCTAGAGTAGAGAGTCTGAAGAGGGAAGGTCAAAAGCCAGTACTCTACCAAAGCACGAATGGCTCCAGCACTTTCTGGAGTGGCAGACACAGGCAGTCAGATGTCGCCATGCTCCCGACGGCAGCAATGAAGTCTACTGGGTAGATTTTTCTCTGAAAGGCTCGGCCTCTGGGGGCTTCGTTTAGTATTTTTTTTGTGTTTTTGGCTTCAGAAAATGCAGCCTCTGTGATGCTTCACTCTACCTGAGATTCGCCTTTAGCGCGGTCAGAAGGCGGGTTGTTCTTTCTCGATCAAAGCTTTGGCCAGGAAACATCTAAGCTCCATCTTGTCTCCATGCCTTCGCTGGATGTTCCGATGCATCCACGTTCGGTCATGAGCGCTCCGTTTTTTCAAAACCGAGCCCAGACGCTGCAGTGTTCCAGCCGGCAACTACATGCAAGAGACTCGCATCTCGATCATGCAGAGCTAAAGCTTCAGACGCACATGTCAGAGATCTCTGCAGATAGTGATAGGCCCGGAACCTTCCTTCTGCTTCTGCCAAGTGCAGGCCTCGTCATGCAGAGGGGCCGAGTGCCTGACATGTGGTGAAGCCAAGCTGTACAGCAATGCCCCTGGCCCCTGAAAACATAGCCACTGAGAGTTGGGGACAGCTAGTGGCCTCTGGACCTATGCTTCAGCAAACGAAGCTTAGGCTTCAGGCTATATAAAAGTACAAGGTTCGCAGCTTCGGGGCCGATGCGCCTTGCCAAAGTGAGCCGCAAGAAGCTGCCAATGGTGCCGAAGATCCTCGACAGGTGTCGGGTATGGGAGGGTAGGGTAGGCATGTGCTGTGCTTCTACTTCTGATCTTTGCTGCTGGAGTCTCCTGTTGCTCGTTCCCGTGCACCCTGAATTTAGCTCTTGTATACAGCTCTTCTTTGTAAACTGCCTCTATGGCACAGGATGACGACGGTTCTGATTCTCAAAACCATGAGGATGACCGCGATGGTGGCTGAGATTATCATATTTTCAGAATGCGATTGCGATGAAGACGATGATTGAGATAGGTGGTGATGCTGCTGAAGACGACGATATACGACGACGACCGGAAGAAAACGAGAGGGATACTGACTTGCTGGGTCTGTGCCGCTCAAGCTATTGCAAGAAATTGAACCGAAGCAGCCGCTGAAATGATGCTGAACCCTAAACCCTAAACCCTAACCCCTAAACCTCGGAGCAGCCCCACCCCCCGCAAGACCCATGTCCGCCAAAGAGCAGAGGTTTCAAAGGCCCGACAGCCCTCGACCCGAACTGGGGTTTTAGGGTTTAGGGTTTTAGGGTTTATAAGGGTTCAGGGTTTTAGGGTTTTAGGGTTCAGGGTTTTAGGGTTTAGGGTTTTAGGGTTTTAGGGTTTTAGGGTTTTAGGTTTTAGGGTTTAGGGTTTAGGGGGAACCAGGCAACACGCACCAGAACTGGTCAACATCCACGACTTCCGGGCTTAGGGCTTAGGGTTTATATTCAGCGCTCACCTTCAAGTCAATCCTGCCTTCAACCCCAAAGCTCAAAGTGCACATAACCTGCCCACGCGTAAGAAAGGCCCAGAAGAACATGATACCCTGGACAATTAGAGTAGGGTTTCGGTATACAGCATAACCTATAATAAATACAAACAAAACCTAGGCAAGAGTTTTTTCAACTATGGAGGACCCGACATTCCAACACCCCTGGAACCCTGAAGCCTAGCAAATTTGTCGTCCTCAAGCGCCAGGTCCTAAATCCGCAACCCCAGAACCCCCGGAAATCACCAAGAGAAGCGCCCGAACTTATAGGTAGCAACCCCCCCCAAATAGCTCGGGCTCTCCGCTTTTTCTGGACCTTTTGATCGCGGGTCGTAGCCTACCCTGGTATCCAAACCCTTCACAACCCGAAGCTTAGCTGGACCCCGCCCTTAAGCCCCTAAACCCGTAAACCCTGAACTCCTAGACGTTTAAACCCTAAACCCTATAACCCTGAACCCTAAACCCTATAACCCTGAACTCAAATTGACCCCCAACAGTACTCCGCACCCCACCTGGCCAGGAGCAGGTCCCGAGACGCCTCCGTCGCCAGCTTCCAAGACGATCCAACCTCTGGGCTCTTTTTCTGAGTGATTCTCCCTATAACCCCCCAGGTACTCTAAACCCCTATATAGTAGGTACATGGGGGGTTAGGGCTATGTACACGGGTTGTGGTTGAATTTAGGGCTGCTGGTGGAAAGAAACGTCAGCCATCAGCAGCCAACGAGCCAAGTCCGAAAAGCAGAAATTGCTCTGTCCTAACCTCTTCAACATGAAACCCTGAAGCCCCAACACACACGCTAGACTCGTTTCCAGGCTACTTTGCCAACTTTTTGCAAAAAGGCCTTGCGGAGCAACTATGCCTGACACGCTCCAGTGCAGATAACAATCCTGATTCCTAAACTTCCTAACTTATCAACTCTAAACCCTAAGCCCTGAACCCTAAAACCCTAAACCCTAAACCCATAACAACTACCCAGAGACTCAACAGCCCCTCAATTCAGGAATCTTCTGCAACTCATGTGCAGACACCTTCTATACTTCATTTAAGGAAGGCGGGGTTGTAGTCTCTCTGAATAATGAGCTCCTTCTCCACAAGACTGGTAGGCCTTGTAGGATCTGAACTTCAACTTATAAACCCTCCCCTCTACACTAGGGAGGGGTATCTACGGAGGTCCACACCGCATAGCAATGACATCTGAAGGCCTGAAGATTAAACCATCAGAAACCCGCAGGGTTTCAGCTCTGCACTCTCCGAGCATTTCTCAAGCTCCTGCGAACCCTAAAACCTCAACAACACCCCTGAACCTTTCACCGCTTAAGATGGATCCCTAAAGCCCGAGACCCTCCCCGAAGCCCTGGAACCTGGAAGCCCTGAATCAGAGCTGCCAGCTCTTCGTCAAACTTTTTTGCGAAGAACAGCCTTCACATGGCGGTGTGTCCTATATGTCTTAGGGCATGGGGAGATTAAGGTACGGGGTTTTGGGGACTTAGGGTTTCCACATGGCGTCCCTTTTCGGGCCCCCTGTTCAACTAAGCTGCAATTGGAATGACAAGTATTCTGAGGGAAACTCGAGTTCAGAAGAACTGGTGCATGTAGTCTCACGGAGTATATGTGCTTGTGTGTGTCGCCCAGTGGTCAACAGTGAACCCAAGCATATGGCAACTTCCGTCACGGCACCACACAGAAGCACGGCAACCTCCACGGTTTGTGGGGGTAGCTGCGCAGTGTGGTCCGTCATTGAAGTCAACGGTGTAGCAATGGTTATCGCCACCTTTGCATATGTGTATAAAGGCCCGCGGCTTCTGGTGGTGACAGTAGAAATGTTCGGCATCGTTGACGCACCCCACCCCTCCTGGCTTTAGGTCTTCAATCAAGGAAGTTGTTGCCATCTTCGCTGTCGTGCCTTCCTTCACCCCAGGAAACATGGCAAAATTCTCAGGTCGAACCGACGAAGCCGAGATCAGCAATGTCCAGAGCAGATATCCATGAAAGCTACGCATTGGCAGGCTGGCAAACAACATCTTTGGGCCAGACAAGAGGCTGCAGCGGAAGGCGGCCTCCTCACGAAAACCTTCCTAAGGCCGAACCATACATTTGCAGAGTTCAAAGCGGCTGTAACAAGAGGTCTGGATCATTAGCAGCTCATCAGCAATAGTAGTGCCTTCCAACCTCCGAACCTCCGGATGCAAAACCCACAAATCCTTAAATGGCCAGCCCTGTCCTAACTCTCCCTGAACCCTGTACGCCCTGAGCCCTACGCCCTAAAGCCGGCAACCCCCGAATCTGCAGTAGCCCGGAACCCAAACCCGCCCGATTCGCCAAACCTGCGGGATTAGGGTGTACCTGAGCCTTAAAGAACCTACCCATGCTTTTAAACTATGATTGCCTTGTCTAGGTCCTAAAAAGAAGTCAGGTCAAGTTACAGGCCGCAACCCCGAACTAAACGATAAAACCCAGATGGGAACGCCGGTTTAGGGTTTCGGGTTGGATGCTAGGCCCCGCCCGTAACGCTCTAATCCAAAATCCTTCCCGCACACCCCAAACCCTGAACACTACGCCACGAACGCCCGCAAAGTAAGCTTTGTTGCAGTTCCGTGATTAGGGGAACCAAGGAATAAGGGGAACCAATGAAGAATCAAAAACAAAATGCTGGGTTCTAATTCCGAACAAACGTCCTGCAAGCCTACAGCCCAGACCCTTTCGAGATTCAGGAACTGATTGGACAAAGCAGAGACCGGGCAGACACAAACCGTAACAGCAAAACCCCAAACTGTTCCCTTTTGCAGTCCTTAAGCCCTCAACCCGAAACCCTGGGGAAGGAAAGGTGAGCCTGTTTCAGCCTCCGCCACATCGATTGTGATGTACGGATTCGGAATGCACTTTGCCATCTTGGCTACCTCTTTGCAGACAATTAGCAAAAGAAGCATTCTCCGATACGCTAAAGATGGCGGGAAGCACAGCAAGCACGATGTGGCGCTACCACACCAGCTCTTGGCTGCGAAACCCATGACGCTCCCAAACATGAAAATGGAAGCTACTTTGGCCTGGTGCTTGGGTTCTAGTGTTTATGGTGTTCATGACACATCTTAGGGCGCGTTCACAAGCCCCAAGGCACACTGTCTGTGCAACCCAAACCCTGAACTCTATACCCGAAGTCCTACATCCCAAACCTTGAAGCCTGACTGGCCGGGGAGGAATAGAGATTGAAACTACAGCATAGCCCCAGCAACCTCGGCCAGCAAGGCTTCCGGAGGCGGCGCAGCGGCATCGCCCTGAACGCGGAGGTGAATCGCGGTTGAACTCCCACGGCAACTGTTTCGGGTACCGTGACCACGAGATCATAACTACCAACCACTACGACCACCAGCACCACCACCTGCTGTGCCAGCCAGGTTTGGGGCACTGGTCAAAAATGGTTGTAGCCATGGAAAGCAGCGTCAGCATTCTCACAAGGGCAACCATGACAATGAACCCCCGGCTTCCTATCCGCGTCTTCCCATTCCGTAGTTCGACGTGCGGCTTCGCTGGACCTCTCTGGGACCCAACGTTCTGGATATCGCAGCCTGCTATAG